GAATAGCTACCACAGTTAACGATGCAGAACAGGTTTCATTCCAAGTATGTTTTCAGCCTCTCAGTTTTTGCCTTTAGGGCTGAAGTTTTCTAGACATGGTATCTACAGAATGTGTGGGAGGTTATTTTTTAAATGTTTGAGTAGAGATATTTGAGAATGAACTAACAAAACCAAAACCACATTCCCTGCAAAGCTCTTTTGACCTGATAAATCGCAAACAGTTCGAAAGACAAGATGACAATGTAAATTTGGCAGAGAAATCTCCTCAATTGAGATGAAGGATGTTTGAATGAAACCTGAGTTTGATTTTTCTTGGTTACATCCATCTGAACATAACACATAATGTCTCTCGCAGCTATTTGCTTCCTAGACTCATAGGGTGAGGTTTGCCCAATGCAAAGAGCCCACAAGACATCCCTGCACATTGGATCCAGGATCAGTCCAGATCGGGCCCACAAACCGGCACCGAGTGCAGCATGCATCCTGGCCCAGCCACCTGTGTTGTACACCATGCCAGCGCTGAGGCCGGCATGTGCTGCCAGCTATGTACAGGGGCTGGAGCCGGCATGTGCTCACATGGCACGGAGCCTGTCTGGGGTGTGTGCTGCTGAAGTGAGCATCTGATGAAGCTTGTGCTATACACATGTATGTGTGCACATGCACAAGCACACACACACAGAGACGCTACAGATATCTACTTTGGTTAGTCTGTATGGTACAAATCTACCCTGCCTTCTACTTGACTTCAGACTAACATGGCTAACTATGTCTCTCCATTCATCTATATATAACCGGATAAACAGTTTAGCTATTAGGTAGAGACACTGGTGCTCCTAAAATAATAGACTAGCTATAACCCGAGTTTTAGTGATGCTGGTGATTTCCTATCACTAGAAAGCCGTTACCGTCAGACTTTGCTGTGACATTGGCATGCTAATAAAGTCACCAAAAGGATCTCATACCTCTGGTACAGCCATGACATATAACAAATATTATAAAAGTCACTGCATAGTGTAAGGCACTGAATACCACCTTTACTAACATGCATACCTACTTTAAACATTCATTATTATAACCCAAGGACCATTTAAACGTGTGTATCATCTTAGAAGTCTTACAGCATGTAGCTCTTTCTTACAGCATGTAGATTTTTATATTCTTTAAAAATATTAAATATATATTAATCTCCATCACTACAGTCCCAAGAAATTAAACAGCAAAACAGCCCTGCTTTTTAGCAACCTAATGCAGGGGACAGTAGCCTACAGCCCATGGGCTGGATCTGGCCTGCTGGAACCTTTGGATCTGACCCATGGATGAGGGGCTTTGGCTGTGAGCGTGCTGCCACAGGGACAAACAGCAGCTATAGCATGGTCCTAACACCTGGTTGCCTGCTTTTGACTTGGGGTGGGTCATTCTGGCCTGCAGCTGGAAAACTCTGCCTACCCCTGTGTGAATGCACAGTCTCGTATTCCCTCTGCTGACAGTACTTTGCAGTTGCTATTCTCAAAGCTGTGCAATGCAGACGATAGCAGAAACCATGACAGCCAAGGAAAAATGCCATTCCCTAACAAGAGTGGTCCTAAGACTCCAAGTACAAAAAATGCTAGGAGAAACTATTTATGTTCAAGCTTTTAAGACATAAAAAATTATTCCAAGCAAATGCAACAAAAGTGCATTTATTAGCAAGGAGGCGGGAAACCAGGCAGACATAAATAGCATTCCCTTGTGTTTGATGCCTGACGACTAGCCGGTGGGTCTCATACTCACCTCGTGAAATACCCCGCATTTATTGCATCCTCTTGTTTGCAGAGAGTAACCCAGCACTGAAATGGTCACTCGAGGTGAAGAGTTCCTTCTCACCATGAAATGGCCCCTTTTGCAGAGCATGCATTTGACCTGCCACTGCTCCACCCACGCAAACCATCTTTTCAAACCTTATCTAAACCAAAAAAAATCTATGAAAACAGAAAGCAGAGAATCATTCTCTCTCTCCTTTCACTCTGCCTCTCCCTTGGGTTTTGTCAGGCTCTGAACTATGGGAGGCCTTCTACAAGAAGCCTTGTGAACGCAGGATTTAAGGCCAGATTGACAGTCTTAACTCAGAATTTAAATACTTTTTTGTGTGGGCTTACGAGTTTTCTGGCTCCTCATTACTGAGATGATGACCTTAACATGAGGCCACTGGAAAGCCAGAAAAACATGAGCAGCAATTCAATTTTCTTTCCTCTGCCACCTGAAGTAACTCATTCTTTTGAAGAGCTGAAAGAAGTGGAAGGGTCATTACCTTCCTTTAGGGTGCTCCAAAGTGCAGGAGCAGGCAATGCTCCCTGAGGATAATGTAAAACTCAGTATGAAGAACCAGGGCATACCAATTTGTTTTTCAATCAATTTTATTTCAGTTCAAAGCTGAAGTGCAGACAGATAACAGAGGAAAACAAGCAACACTTTGACTATATTCAGTCCTGCTCAATCTGTAAAGAAGGCAGAATATAGCCACTGCACGGCTTGTTTTCCTGGGCTATCTGTCTGCGCTGACGCTCCAAACGGAAATAAAATAGATTAAAAAATGAATTGGTATGCCCCAAGTCATTGCAGTGCATTTTCCATTATCCTCTGAAGCAAGTGTTGTTACCTATCCCACTCGGAACGAGGCAGCCCCAATCAGAGAACAAAATTACCTTGTCACCCCAAAACAGCCAATAAAGGCAAAGTTTGCTCCACATTTCTGTTCCTGTTGTGCCTCGCTGGGCCAAGGATGCCGAATGCAATACTGAAATTCTATAGGTTTCGGTGACATCTGTAATAAGCACAGGATGCAAGTCAGAGACCTGAGCTTGTTTGTCGTGTGAGCTTACATCGGGCACTGATTCCACGCTCTAAATGTATAAGTGTGTTTTCTATGCTGCTTCGAGCAGCTTCATTGAGCCAATCTATTCTCAGTAAAGCACAGGAGAAAATCCTCCTATGAGACTAAGACCAGGCAGAGCATGAAATGATCTGTAATGAGCCCTAATCTTCATATCAAAAGGATCTTGCGGTTTTTAAGGGAAAGGCTTTCAAAAGGACACTGTTCAAGAAGGGTCAGCCCAAAATGGGGACTATTTTCCTGGGTTCCGGTGTGTCTGAAATGCCCTTTTCCCCCCAGGCTTAGATGCTGGACTCAGGGCTCTAGGCCAGCACCTCCACTCAGAATCCACTCCAGATTGGCATCCGCTCGTGAAAGGACAGAGCAGGGGCTGGCTGTCCTTTTGTTTTAAAATGGACCTGGAGGAAGTGGTGGAAGTACCACAGTCCCCATCCTAACCACTAGTGATTAGTGCACTTACCCAAGAACTGGTGGAGCTACAGACCGTCCTCACCCCCAGTGAATACCAAAACCAGCAGGCTATGGCTGCTTTGACTGGGGAAACTCTCCAGTCCCCCAGTTGAGGCTCTGCCACTGTGCAGCAAAGAATGCAACAATTAATACCCCGGAAAGAACGAAAGCATGAACCCAAGAACCAGGGGTGTAGGTTGTAGCTGTGTTGGTCTAAGGACACAGGCAGACAAGGTTCTTTGGGTGAATGCAATCTCTTTTATTAGACCAACCCAAACAGTTTCATAGCTGCTAGGGGCTGGAAGGGACCTTACAGATCATTGGGTCCAGCCCCCTGCACGGGGGCAGGAAAGACTGCTGGGATCAAATGACCCCAGCAAGATGGGCATCAAGACGCTTTCTGAAGATCATGCAGGGTGGGTGACCGCACCACCTCTGTGGGGAGCCTGTTCCAAACCCCCGGCAGTTGGAGACATTCTTCTTAGCCAGCTTTCGGGTATAAATACCCTTCATCAGGTTGAGGAAGCACCTGCAGTTGGCGTGCGCTTTTCCTGGATCAAGAACCATGACTTTGCAGCTTTGGGGCCAAGGCACTCCGCTGGGTGGTCAAGGAGACGCAGGCTTTTTTGTTCCTGCTCCAAGAGCAATTTCTGAATTTTATTTAAGGACCATGTAACTTAATTTTCTTCCCAGAATAGCCATCACCTTGTGGTTATAGCACTCTTTTGTACGGAGAGCTGTGGGTTTGAATCCCACCCCCCAGACCCATGTCTCCCACATCAGAGGAATGCTCTCTAAGCTTTAGGTACGCAGAAGACTTGCACGACTGCCTCTTCCCAGAGCTGTGTAGTAGAGAAGTGGTCACAACTACAACTTGTGTCAGTGTGTTACACGTGCTCTGTGAACACCTACCAGAGAGAGCCCCCCCAGAGGACTTTGGGCAAAGGACACATGGCATCGGTCAGGCTTAGGCAGGGAGCAGGCACTTGGCTGCCGAGACGGGGGCATTATGAGCACAGAACCACAGAAAGAAGGACCTGGAGGGACCTATAAGATCACCAAGTCGGGATCCCTGCCAGGGGCAAGGGGGAACTGGGCTCCAACGAGCTCAACGAGGTATTTGTCCAGTCTCCTCTCACAGACCGCCAGAGACGGCGACTCGACTGCACCACCGCCACTGGACGCGCGTTCCAGGTTCTAGCGACCCGGACAGAAACGAAGTTTTTCCTTACGTCCAGCCGAAACTGTTCCTCGATTAGCTCGTGTCTGTTTGTCCGTGTCTTCCCGAGGGGTGGGGGGGCTATTCTGAAAAGTTGTTCACCTAGGTCCTGGGGTCGTCCCTTGGCATATTTATACTGCAAAAGCAGACGCCTAGGCACCTTCCTAATGACTCTAGCCCCCCTCTATGTGTTATGTATATTATACGACGAATGGGTCAACTGTGCAATTGATCTAGACCAGCTACACACGCAAAATAACCATCGGTGACAGCTAGAACA